TGTGCGTTATAGTCAGTTTTCAATGCCAGGAATGAATACCACAGAGAATCATATCTTTCCACCCAGCATAGGATGTGATCCACCCACAATGCTGCTGCGTGTCCAGCCTTTGGAATGGATGTATGAAACGGTCATAGTTTTAACACATTGATGGCAAACAGGGCTTCTGATGTCCAGCGATCCTGCTCCAAATGGGCTGGGAAGGGAGGAAATAAAAAACGAAAAGTACAGAAGCGCCACTACCAGAAAGTGACTTGGCAGAAACAAATGAGGGTATCAGACTTACCAGGGAGTAGGTACTGGCGCGTTGTCAGCGGCTGAATGTGGATGGTTGCTCAGGGTGTTCGGCACTAAAAGTGTGTGGGCAGATGGGGGTGTGGAAGGGTTGGGGATGAGCGGGGTTCAGTAGGAGAGCCTGGGTCGGATGTTAAGTGTGGCAGGGATCCGAGATGGGGGGGGGGGGGCGTGATGCAGAGAGTGGCAGGCACGGTGGGGACCTGGTTGGTGGATGTGTTAGCGATCTGTGAGAGGTGTGGACCGGGTCATTGGTAATGTAAAGCTTCTGATCTGAGAGGTGCAGGTCGCTGGGAGAGGACGGTGAATGTGTGCCTGAACACTACGTGCGGGAGGGGCGGGGCCTGTGACCCCGCTGACGAGCGGCTGATGCTGGCAGGTGGAGGGTGTCCGGGGGAAGCCGGTGGTAGGGTTGAGTGCCAGGAGGTGGATGCTGAGGTCGAGGTGAGTAGTAGTGAGAATGAGACTGACACCGCTCGAGGGCACGAGCAGGGAGCCCGGAACAGCGAGCGGTGTGTCTGTGGGTTGGAACGGGTAAGAGCGAGGCACGGAGGTGTAAGGGGTGAAGAGTGACAATGTCACAGGCTGGCTACGCGTTTCGAAGATCGGGTCTTCTTTCTCAAGCCGAAGAGTGAGGGGCCTTTCTCAAGCCGAAGAGTGAGGGGCAAGTGTCTGCATGTTCTCGATGGTTAAACAAGGGAGCCTACAAGATATATCAGTCTGTCCCCTAGTCAGCGGTTGACTGAAGATCAGAGGGGGAAAAATTGGCTTGAGTCCAGGTATAGGGATCCTCTTTGGATGCTAGGAAAGAACAAAGCTTTCTGGCAGTTGGTGGAGTTTAACCGTTATTTGGTACTGGCTTTTAAAGCTGACTTTTTCGTGCACCTAGTATCCTCCGCCTGCATGTGATGATATAAACCCACACATCTAACGGACTGAAGCTTCATCCTTCAATGAATGACAGGGGAAAAAAAGTTTGCCTTTACTTATACTTTAGGTTACAAATTCAAGCCTAATTCCAGTTAAGTGCTAACACTCTGCCACTGATTTTATGCTCGAACAACTCGTCTGTCTTGTAAGTGCATCCATGTATTTTAAAGAAATACATCTTTTTTGAATTACTGCACTTAGAGGATTCCGCCGCCTTTTCTTCGTCTTTTTTCCCCCTGGGAGATCTTAATAGGTTTCCGTCCCTAGCGAGAGGTGAGGGAGCCTGCCAGAGGGAGGAAAAAAGCAGACCAGATCTTTTGAGAAAAGAGGACGGATCACAAGAAACCATAGGACTTTCCGGATTCTATGAACTATCCCTGGTTTGAGATGTTTTGAACTGACCACTCTGAACTGACTGCTCACTGAGATCGATGCCGGTATTTTAGTTAAATTAACCCCGCATTTAATTTTTGTCTTTGAGAGGAATCGGAGTGCACGGGGTAGCACTGTATGTGTGATAATTTTTCATACTGTTTAATTTCTATTATTTAAGTGTTCGTATTATATGTAAAATTTGTCACGATTTAGAGATTGGGATTTTAGAGTTTGTTTTTGTTTTCCTATACACGACCAGTCTGTGACACTGAGTCATTTGTATTTGGATTGGTGTCTTTGAATAGATTGTCACATCATTGGGAGGTTTGTTTGGACGAACCATGTACACTTAGTACACAGAGGCACCTGGTCAGTGCACCGGCTGGTGGTTGAGGACCCTTTTCCCACACCTGATTGTTGTATTGCACAGTTGTTGCCGAGGTAGTGACTACCGAGATTTATAATTTTTTCACAGTAAAATCTGAACTTAGTAACTTCTTCACGTCCTATAGAGTGCACATATTTTATTTTATTTATATTTGTCGAGACTCACTTGCGATATAAGAACTTGGTACTTTATTTACCTGGCTCGGGGTTTACCGCTCCTAGCATTGAAAATTAACCCCGAGCCAGACTCGGGATTACCGCCAGGGAGGTTAAGCAGTTATGGAAAAAGTTATTTTTTCCTGTTTTGGAACAAAAGTTTTAACCATATGAATAAAAGCTTGTTGTAAGCACATCCACCAGCATTTTTCATAACCTGTATAACTGTCACTTTTGCTGGATAGCTTGGCCTGTTTAAAGAAAGTGAAAAAAAAAATAGGATTTTCTTGTGCTCACCTTAAAATCCTTGTATCTGCATTCATGAAGTACACAGCTGGATCCTTAGGAACTTAACCAGAGTTATATCGCCACCTGCAGAAGTAGGACACTAGGCAAAAAACAAAAACAAATAGCAAACCCATATATTAACATGAGGGTGGGTGCTGTGTCCTTCAATGAACACAGAGAAAAGGATTTTAAGGCGAGTACAAAAATCCTATTTTCGATTATATTCATTAAAGGACACAGATGGATCCTTTGGACCTTGACCAATGGGACATCCAAAAGTAGTAAAGGTAGAGAGTGTGCCAACCAGAAAACAGAGCAGAAACCACATCCAAACAAGACACTTACATCACTGCCTGCAAGACCTTGCGGCCAAAACTTGCCTCCGAGAATACTGCCACATCCACCTTATAGAACTTGGAGAGATTGTGTACAGAAGACCAAGTAGCTGCCTTACAAACCAGGACAGCAGAGGCCTGATCATGGAAAGCCCACAAAGGACTCACTCTGGTAGCCATAACCCAGAAAAGAGGTACCTGGCCCTTAATAGTATAGGCCTGACTGATGAATCCACCTGGATATAGTGGTTGACAATGCAGCTTGACCCCAGCTAGGACCATCCAGAATGATGGCCTAGGACACAAACAAGGCAGAACAATATCTTCCTTCAGATGAAAAGAAGATACAACCTTAGGCAAAAATGATTGACGAGTACGAAGAACAACCTTGTCTCAATGCAGGGCCAAACTGCCCACGCAAGAGTCCAGAGAGGCAATGGAAAGCTGGAGAAACGTTGCAGGCAGGGAATGTCTCACCTAGGGAGTGCCTCACCTGGGGGGGCAGCCTAAAAAAAGATCACATTTTGAGCAGAAAGGCGAAGGGGCCCCATCCCATGCACGCTCAGCCCCATGCTGAGGAGCCCTATGGGTGTCTGCCATGTGCACTGCCGCCACCAACCCTGAATAGACTGCAAAGGGAGAACACTGATGCAGTAAAGACTTACCAGCCCCACAGGAACAACCAACCGGCAAGTCTGAGATCCACGTGGAAGTGAAGCGAAGAGTAGCTGCCAGCCCATGCTGTGCCACACTCCAGAGACAAAAGACCACCTTCCTGCCAGTTTCCAGTGACCCTTGTGCTCAGAAAGGGCAACTGCCCAAGACACAAATGATGGTGGCTGACACTGCACCTCAACGCTATGTGTGACAGGACCAGAAGATGCTACAATCACCAGCCCTGTCAAAAGACACTAAAACAATAAAATTACTGTGGACACAGCTGATCTGCACTACCACTGTCGCCCAGCACTGAAAACAGAATGCACAAACAGCAGGGTCGGCCGAGACCACTTGGCAGCCGGGGTCACCAACGCCAAAGCAGCAAAGCCAGCAGTGATCAACTTCCCAGCCCTGTCAGAAATCGCAGGCAGTGGAGATGGCTGGATGAGGCATCTCTAAGTCACCAAGCACTGGCAAGGAGCAGAGGGAGTGCAGCTATACTCCCTGTTCCTGCCAGAGTATAGAGCCAGGCAGGGATGGAAGAAACATTCCAAACCCTGTGAAGAGAGAAAAACAGGGCCATCAAGCAAGACAAAGTGCTTCCCCCAAAGGAGACCAGTGCCCCTCAAAATTCCCTCCAATTACAGTCAGGGTACTGCTGGCCCAGGAAGGCCGTACTGTGATTGATCCTCTATGACAGGGGCTCTGAAAGTACCAGTACATGCACTGGTTACTTTTGGTCCGCAGGGAGGGCCGTATTTACCGCGGGGCAAAAGGGGCTGTCCCTTGAGCCTAGAGCAGCAGACAGAAGAAGAGTGCCATGGCCGGTGAGATCATCTCCAGAGGTGGGCTGACCATTCGGACACTGCCCATGCCCGCAGCCAGGAGGTGGCCCGTAGCCTCCCATGAGGGTTGCCAACTGTCATGGATTCACCCGGACAGTCTGAGTTTTAAGTCCTGGCTTGAGCGCCAACAATCATCCCACGTTCAAAGGCTGTTAAATCGCGTTGTTTACCCATATCTTCAGAATTAAATCACTTCTACTGTTGTGGTAAACAAACCTGCGTCCCTATTTATAATGGGTTGGCCCTCTTAGCAACTTCAGCGCAAAATTATAGCTAATTATAGCTAATTTGCCTGCAAACGTCAGGTGGTCATAATAATCTGGCCACTCAGTGTATATACACACACACACACATGCATGTATATATGCACATGTACGTAAGTATAAGTAATAAACACATTTTCACAAAATTTGAGACATTATATTTACCAAGTTGACCACCAATGTGCTACCGTGAAGACCAGCCCTTTCTATGCCAGAAGATGTTAGCACTGAAGTTCCTACATCAGAATCTACGGCTTCTCTCTACAAGGAACTTACTAAGGCTATGTGGTTGCATTGTTTGCCCTATGTGGTAAACTGTGGTGCTGCAATTTAATTGAATTACAAAAGTCTTACAGGCAATTTACACATGCATATGACACCTGGTAAAACTAAAGAAGCCCAAATGCACCTTGTACTGTTTTTGTGACAAATGCAAAGGCTGGTTAGAGCATATAAAAAAATATTACCGATCTCTGAAGATATCAATATTTTCAATAGCCCATTCTGCTAAGAAGAGAGCTGCTTCCCATGTCACTAAGCCTGTAGTGCCTTCTGAGATTATTGCTGGGCTTTCACATAGTATCACAGTGCTCCCTGATGGCTGCAAAAGAAATAATCTGCTGTCAACATTCTCAGCTCTAGCATTCATATTCACAATACCATTCATTTGAAAGCAATATATTCTCAACACTAATAATATACCAAGTGTGTACATATTTGGGTTAACACAACCAGTGTTCTGTTAGAAAGTTTTTCTTTTTTTTTTTTTTTAGATTCTCCGTTTTGCTTCATCAAGTGTAGAGAAAAAAAATACTTTTGGAGGTGGCATAGGTAAAAAGTGAAAAGACAAATGGACGTATCTCAGTATTGCATGTGCTTGGCCCAGATTTTTCGAAGAAAACAAATTCTTCAGTATTGTTATTACTGCTACAGAATTGCAAAGTATCGGTCATTGCGTTTAACGCTCAATACTCCTCCATATAATGCCAATACTTTACTTTTTGGGTAGTTAAGTGCACACTACCCCATATTTACACATATCTATTTGTTGCCCCTGATAAGCCCATTATGTAATACCTATATAAATGATTAAACAGTAGGAGTGGAAGGCAGGCAAATAATTTAAAAGCATGTTAGCTTAAATCAGCAGTAAACAGTGATTTTCAGCATATCTGGCATTCATTAAAATGCCAGAATGGTACTACACTGCATGCCATCTTGCTAGGGCAGTGGACTGGTGCCAGGATGCCAGCCCCAAGCCCTGGCTGCAAGTAGAACAGGCGGCCTCGGCTATCCCTCTACATTGCCTCCCTTGGTGTAATTCGCCCGTACCAGCAGAAATCAGATCACATCTGACAGTGGGAGCCACCTGGAAGATATGTAGGAAAGTCTTCGACACCCTACATATCTCACCGCACCCTTCCCCTCTCTTCCCGATACTGGGGAATCCAGGTTTCACTCCAGGACTGGAAGACGGGATCTTTAAATCGCTTAGATTGTCAAACTATTGCAGAGCTAAACACTTTATATGTAATGACTCATGGCCAACTAGAACGCTCTTATTGTCGGATCCCAAAACAGACATACTTGGCTTCTGGAAGAACATTCAGCTCTCCCACTTCCTTCACACGTTACCCCCTGCCACTGACTTCTCCCGACCGCTCACTGCCTTTGAAGCGGAATGTGACAATATAGATCACCTACGACATGCGGTCTCCTACATGTATTCTTTACTGAATGCCCCAGTAGTGGAGAACACCCCCGTTTATATCCAAAAACATGAGCGGGATCTGGGGGTCCGTTTCACACCTGCCAAAATAGCGAGACTCCACTACTTCACCTTTAAATCATCCATTCACACGAAAATCCAGGAATCCGGATTTATGCTGCTTACTCGGTGGTACAGGACCCCCCAGCTCCTCCACTCGATGTACCCTTCTGTACCCAACAGTTGCTGGCGCTGTCAGGAAGCTCCGGGAGATTTACTCCATATCTTCTGGACATGCCCCAGAGAGACCCCATTTTGGTCTTCAGTTAAGTCCCTACTAGGCAAATTTACCGATAGGGAAATCCCTCAGGACCCAGCCTTTTTTCTCCTTCATCACAACTCCCTGCCCAGGAAAAGCTATAAGGCGTCTATCCTCCCACACCTCCTGAATGCAGCACGTTGTTGTATTCCAGCACTGTAGAAATCGTCCCAGACGCCCACGGTGTCCATGTGGCTTCATAAAGTTGGAGAGGTGGAGAGAATGGAGGACCTGGTCTGGTCTGGGTGAGGCCAACAAGCTAAGCACTGCAGGACATGGTTCTATTGGACCGCTTTTAAGCAGACATACGAATTTCATGCCCTGTTGCAGGGTCCCCCCTAGAGGTAGGCACGTAGCAACGGCTGCCCGGGGACTGGCGACTGGCCCACTGACCTCATCTTCCACCCTTCTTCTCTCCATACCTCTTTACCGCCCCTCTCTCCTACCTGCTCTGCTCCCCTCCTCCCAATGCATTGGAACTCTTCCGTGAGTGGCGGGGCGTAGCGACCGGAAGCTACCTGCCCCACTATTGCATTGGCTCTCCCAGGGTTGGATCGTATCCCCCTGCCTGATGGCCGATTCCACATTCACCGTCATCTGGAAAAAAGGAAGTCACTGAAAAGGTATATGCTCCTACCTTACTTGTTTGTTATGTTTACTTTTTAGACTTTTTGTGCTCCACGTTAGGAGCAACCGCTCGTACATCGCCATATGGATGACAATCTCTCTACATAATCTCCTCTCCTCCCTTGGTATCGTGGGATCCGTGAACCAGAGTCGTTTCCGGAGCACTGGGACACCGGTAATGACTCATTTTCTCTCTTCACCGTTTTTTTATAATTTCAACGTCATACAGTTCTATCGGAAGCTATGGGAACCTCCTTGAAAGTCGCCTCCTGGAACGTCAAAGGGCTCCGGACCCCGAAAAAACGAAGACAAATATTGCGCCATCTCAAAAAACTGAAAATCGCTTTGCTGCAAGAAACTCACCTCCACCGTGAAGATATTAACCGCATCAAACAATCCTGGGTGGGAACAGCGATAGGAGCACCATCCAAAGGCCGATCTGCAGGTACGATAATTCTCCTTAGTAAGACCTTACCCTATTCTTTACTGTCTCAGCAACACGATTTAACGGAGGGCAGATGGTCTCATGTGGTCATCCAAATAGGACATTCTGTTTTTGATATCTACATTAGGAATTTCTACGGCCCTAATGCTGACAATAAATCCTTCTATGATCGCCTCCTATCTCGCCAACCACCAACTGCCCCTGACACCTATGTACTTCTGGGGGGCGACTTCAATGCTGTCCCAGTCACCTTAGAAGACCGCTCCTGGACCAAGGGCCGCCCCTCTAAATCCACCCTCTTACAGGATCGTAATCTGTCGGCCATGATCCAAGCCGGAGGCCTTGTGGATGCCTGGCGCTTTCAACACCCATTGGATCGGGAATACTCTCACTTTTCCCATGTCCATGACACTTTTTCTCGCCTGGATTTGATCCTTACCTCTCCCAATCTGATATCAAAAATTGCTGATGTGACTGTGGAGGACATGGTTATATCTGACCACGCTCCAGTGACAATCGATCTCCACCATTTGGGCATACCCTCCAGACCGCTGGTATGGCGTTATCCATCGTACTTGACCAATGATGATACGTTCCAGGCTCATCTGGCATCTTGGTGGGATGAATTCGCTTCTGATAATGCCATGCATAGAGAAGACCCTATTCTTTTTTGGGAGACGGCAAAGGCGGTCCTGAGAGGCAGAATTTTGGCCTATGTCTCCTCCCAAAAGAGATTGACCAGGCAGAGGTATGTGGCGGCTTGCACGACGGCCAGGACAGCCTACTTAACGTACAGACAGGACCCATCCCATCACAACAAATCACTGTGGATTCAATCTAAACAATCATGTGATCACTGGATTGCCCAGTATGATCTACAAATTCGTTCCCATAAAGATGTAGAATATTTCAAATTTGGCAACAAAGCAGGAAAATTGTTAGCTAATCTAATCCGAGGACAATTTGCTCCCTCCCACATAATTAATCTCACTAACGATAGGGGAGAGCTTTCCTCAGATCCTTCGGAGGTTTGTGATATATTCCGCAATTATTATCAGTCCTTATACGCAGCGGACAATGGAAATGCTGCCGCAGGCTCTTCTTTCTCGGACTCTGTCTCGTTGCCTTCCCTGCTGATCGGGACCTTTTAAATGCTGAGATCACCCTCCAGGAGGTGCAATCAGCTATTCAAATGTCTCCTAGTTTGAAAGCCCCTGGACCGGATGGCCTGACGGCTGAATTCTTTAAACCCCTAAAGGACCATGTATCCCCTACCTTAGTGTCCCTATTTAACCATATACTACACCAGAATAGCTACCCACCCACGTTCAGTGATGCATACATTCGCTTGTTGCCTAAAAAAGGAAAAGACCCCACTCTTCCTGGATCCTAGCGCCCTATTTCTTTATTAAATTTTGATGCCAAGCTGCTCTCTAAAATTATGGCGAACAGACTGGCCGTCGTGCTGCCCAAACTTATCTCATCAGACCAGGCGGGTTTTGTAACTGGTAGATCTGCTGTATTGAATGTCCGAAAAATCATTACTGCCTTAGAGGGAATACGGCTGTCAGGGCCCTCTCCTGCACCAATGGCCCTATTGGCGTTGGACGCGGAGAAGGCCTTCAACAACGTTAACTGGTCGTGGCTGTCTCAGGTGATGCAGCGTTTGGGCTTTTCGGGGATGTTTCAGTCTTATATTACTACGATGTATAGTTCCCCTTCTGCACAAATATACACGCCCTCTGCCCTTTCCCCCCCTTTCAATTTATTTAAGGGCACCCCTCAAGGCTGCCCTCTCTCCCCTCTCCTATTTAACATAGCTTTAGAACCCCTGTCCCGCTCCTTGGCCTCCAATCAAGTATTTAGTGGATACAGAACTGGCACGTTTGATATTAAATTGGCCCTATTCGCGGATGATATCCTACTGGTAGTATCTGAACCACTGACAAGTATCCCAAAAATTCTTAATCATATCAGCCTCTTTGGTTCCTTTTCCGGCCTTAAAATCAACATTAATAAGAGTGAACTCCTGCCGTTAACACCGGATAGGACCTACGTTGAGGCCCTTTCCCGCACACACCCCTCATTACAGATGCAAAAGCAGTCCATTACCTACCTGGGGATCTCCATTCCCCGCTCAGCTAAAGATCTTTACTCACTCAATTATAAGCCTATCATCACTAAAATTGTCCAAGAATTGCGCACGTGGCGTGACTACCCCGTCTACCTACTGGGTAGATGCCATCTCATGAAAATGATAAGTTTCGCAAGATTGCTCTACCCGATTCAAACGATACCCCTTCTTTTAAAACAAAGATATCCAACTCCTCCATAGTGCATTCTCGACCTTTCTCTGGAAAGGGAAGAAGTCGAGAATAGCCTTGAAAAAACTCCAACAACCGGTAAAGAGTTTAGGAGCCAACCTTCCTAACATTAGGGTCTATAATTTAGCCAATCTCTTCCGGCATGTGCGAGACTGGCTGCATGATACTTCCTTCTTCA